TGAGGAGATGGTGGCCGTCACTCTCTACCTGCAGCTGAGGAGATGGTAGCCGTCACTCTACCTGCAGCTGAGGAGGACAGGGCGGAGGAACCTGAGGGCCAGCAAGCACTTGCCAAGGCCCAGGTAGGTTCCCTACTACTGGCAGCCCAGCCAGAAGTACCAAGCGCCTGGTGGGCTTGGCTCTAATCTCCTTTTACCTGACAGGCACTACCCCAGGTTCAGGATGGCTTCCCTTGCTTCCAATGCCAGCAGTGGTCCCAAGAAGGCAGCGTAAATTAGCAGAGCACCCTGGCAGGCCTTGGCCAGGGCAGCCAGGGAGCACTACAGAGAATTGCCTTGTTGCTACCACCTAGGGAAGGGCACTGTCCAGGGAAATACGAAAATCTCCGACAACAACGCCAGTGAGTCAAGTAAAATACGAAAATCTTCGACAAGCCAGTGAGCCAAGTCTTTGTGGGAGCCAGGGGTTCCTCGCTCTGGCCCAGGAGTCAGGGATGGGGGCAGGATAGGATTTGCATAATCCTACAGGTAGAATTTAGGTTCACTTCTCAGCACTCCGACTACTGATCTAGTCTTTCTGCTTCTGTGCTTTTAATTTCCTTCAGCAGGTCCTGAAACCAGGGGGCAGGGGGAGGAATTCATTATAGTCTTAGGATCCGAGACTTGGGAGAGGCAGGACACCCACAGTCTGCTCCCTACCAGCAGGTCAGGACCTACCCCCTCTTGGAAGCTGGGATCTTTGGCCCATCACACAGAAATACGTGACTGAGGACACCTTTATCTATAGGATTGCTCTGTGGGTGGGAACGGGCACAGGGAGTCAGGGAGCCTCAAGGAGAAGAGGAGGGAGTGAGCAGTAAGGCGTGTCAGATCCACAGAATGATGCCAAGGGGGACACAGGTGATCACCACGCCTGGGGATTTGCAGAAAGGTTGGAAACAGGGTTGTACCAGGAGCTCAGAGCTGGGTAGGAAGTCCAGGGTGGAATGGTAGGTTAAAGATCACGGTCCCTTTGGCTGAGCCCACAGGCAGTGCTCACTTTTTATTGAGCACTTACTATGTAGCAGGCCTCAGGTTCAGGATAGAAAATGTTACATCCATTTATAACTCCACAAAGATCCCACGCGAGACATGCTGCTTTGGTCTGAATATGGACAGTGTTAAAGGCTGGGAACTCAGGATGGCAACATGGGGGGAGGGTACCATCTGACCTTTAGGAATTGGGCCTGCGGGAGTAGCTAAATGTGGCTTGGGGGTACACCCTCACAGGGGGGGAGTCAGGCTGGTAGACCTCTCTTCTTTCTGGCTAAAGCTGTTACCTGGCTCGTCCTACCGTGAGGCTCCCCTACACTGTGCTGCCCACTCTTTAGAGCCCCAAACCAACGAGGCTTGCCCAATCTTGAACTTCAATCTCCAGATTCATGAGCCAAAATAAACTTCCTTGCTTCTCAAGTAGATTTTGCCAGGCTTCATGTGCAAACGACGCAGCTCCAACGCCAACGACGCAGCTCCAACGCCAACGACGCAGCTCCAACGCTAATGACGCAGCTCCAATGCAAATGCTATTCATTTTATAGTGGAGCTGCGAGGTTGGCGGCATTGGGAGTCTGTCCCAGACCTCAGCTGCAATCTGTGGGGATGTCAGTCACCTACTGCTGACACCTGTTCACATGGCCTGCTCAGGGGTCAGAAACCCCGAAAGAGCCCATGTGGGAAAGGCCACAGGAGGCAAAAGGAGGCCCTGGAAGTGGGGGAACTGAATAACTCTGCCGGGGGGGGGCATTCCAGCAGAGCTAGGAAGCACCCACCCACCCATCTGGGATTGTCCCAGGCCCCCAAGTACCCTCTCTATTTTCAAGACTAGCATCTCGCCTCAGTGCATAAGGATCATGAACCAAGGGAGGGCATTAGGACTGTGTGTGATTGTGTTCTCAGGCACCCATGGTCCCGCTTATCCCTTCTCCGTATAGATGCCATATTGGGCTATCTCCCTGCTTTGACTCAGCGGGAAAAGCAGGGGACACCAGCATCACATACCCATCTGCCTTTGTACCCAGCTAGTGTCAAGGATGTCTCTGGACCAATTGTGTTTTCCACGATGGCTTTTCCCTCTTCAAGGCAAGCTGCCCACTCAGTGGCCCAGAAGTAATGGGCAGGGTACAGACACTTGGCGGCTGGCACTGGAAACAGGGTACACAGTAGGCACTAAATAAATGCTTCTTATTCTTCTCATCTTTCTCTGCCCCAGCAACACAAAGAGCCTTGTGGAAATTTCTGGTTGTTGATAAGAAGCCACAGGTGACTGTATCTCATTTCATGTCTGTTCAAGCAAACACAAACATTTTGTTCCTCTCCGTTTCTTTTTGGGATACTAATGGATATCAAAGAGAAGGTCTCAGGGCCCACAACAGCACCAGCCAAGCACCTGGGGTCTAGGTAATTGGAGGGTGGAAATTAACACATGGTTAATTTCTCCTGGCCACCCACTACGACAGTATCCAGCTGACACTACCTCTGGCTAATTCTACCCCACCAAGCAAATGTCACCATGGTCAGCCATGGGTTCCTCCCCTTTTCTCTCTGGATTAGATTCCTAGCTTTTCTTCATCTTCTGGACCTTGGGCTACTGGTCCTGCCTCCTCTTCCAGCTTCTTGACAACATCCCCACATCTGTCCCCTCGACAGTCCGGGGTCGGCTCTCAGCTACGCACCGGGCTGCTGGATGACCCACGTCTCTGGGCTGCTAGTCAGGGCTGTGAAATCCCAAGGGAACCAAAGCAGATCACGAGCTCCTACAGACCACAGTTAGTTTCCAGAGAGGGACTGCATCCCCTCCATCCTCAGAAGAGTCCAGCTGCCAGGCCCATTTCTGCCATCCTTTCCCTCTGCCAACCCATATCCCCTGAGTCTCTGCCTTCTGCTTGGGAGACTGAGCCCTCTCAGGGCTGCTGAGCCAGAGTTTCGCTAGAGGTCTGATTTCATCATTCCCCTGCCTCTGATACACCCTGCGCTAACCAGACAGCGAGGCCGAGACTTGTTGTCCCCTCTGCCAGAATTCTTCTCTCACACTCACATGGCTGCACCTCTTCCTCTGGTCCAGTCCAGCTTAGAGGAAGCCTGCTCCAGCCCGAGACCTCCTCCCACACTGCTACGTTACCCTTTCACCCCCTTTCCTGTGTCACGCCCAAGCTCTTGGATGTCATATTAATTAGCTGTGCACTAATCTTGTCCCTTGTCAACTCAGCTGGACATTCGGTACAGGAACATGAGCTCTTCTTTGCTCTTGTTTGTGGGTTCCCAAGGCCATAGACGAGCCAGTCTGCTTCGCGAGATATTTGTTGAGAGAGCACAGGAACAAATAACCCTGATTTTATAGGCAAGGAAACTAAAACAGCCTCTGTTCAGGCCCTCGGGCCTTCAGTTTCTGGCTGGTACACCATGGGGCTTTGCTTGGGGCTCCTGTCTGTTCCCCAGTTCCAGGAGGCATTAGGCTATAAACTACTGAGTCATCCATGCATGGGGCCAATGGGAAGCCTCTGTCCACAGCCCCCCGAACCACACACGTGCCAGAATGCAAGCTCTTGGATTCATTTGTAAGGAGGGGAGTTCTTAAAAGGACGCACAGGGCAAGCGCTCGCTGTGGAGATGGGTCACTTGTCCCCGGAATCCGGAGCTCGGAGGCAGCCCTTCCCTTTTGGTGTCTGGGACAGAAACAAGGCTAAGTTTCTAAAGTTCTACCTGTCTCCCCACCCCCAACACTGATAGGGAGACCCCTTGTTTGGGGCACAAAGTCTACAGGGGCATCTTAAAAGAACCCCTGGCCCTGGCTAGAGTCTGCTGGCTCTTCCCTGAGCTTCTTCTCTAGATCACCTGGGAACTGTCAGCCTCTGCTCAGAGCAGGCTGCTTGCTAGGGGAGGGGAGCAGGCAGCCAAGTTGCTACAAAAGGAGGCTGCCTTGACCTGGGAGTTGAGATAGTTGAGGAAAATTAACCACCTTCCCCCAGCAACTCTTGAAACCTCGTATCTGGAAACCGTCCACAGTACCTTGCCAGGGCAGGAAGCCGGTAACCAGGGCGCAGGGGTCGATGGGAACAGCAAGGAAAGCAAGAGAGGGAGGGAACTCCCTTCTGGGGCTGGAAGACCCCCCCACCCAAAAGCAAAGGCTTGTCTTTGCCTTGTCTGTCACCCGCCATCCTGGCTGCCAGGACACTTTTGCCTCTGGTCACGGTCTCTACACATGTGCATCCCAGGGAGGTGTCTGGATCTTCATGCCAGACTCAGCCAAACTTCCTGTCTGCCCTCTCCTGGGACCACACTGCCTCTGCAGTAGATGTGCTCCCACCC